ACCGGTACAAGGTTGTTCGTGCGGACCACACTACCTCCCGACGCCATATTTGCAACTTCCATACCTGATCGCGGACCAAGCCTTCACGCCCAGGCGTGAGAATCGTCATGTCGTAGTGGGATCCCACGATCTTCTTGCAATCTTGCCAATCAGTCAGAACGAGTAGTCTTTATTGAACCTTCCAAGACCGGCACAAGCTTACCCGGCTTACGTTTCAGCTTCTTCCCTTCTCCAGAGTTTTAGATGTCGGGAAGCATCAGAGACTGATCCTCTCGGAAACTGTAAATCCTGATGACAATTTCCCTTGACTAGTAAACCGGGAACGGTCGAGCCCTGTAGTACACTGCAACTGACCGTTACCTACTTGTTGGGCTGTGACTATGCTTCCTCACCCTTCGGGCTCCAAAGAACGCGAAGAAACGCGAAGAAGCCGAGACGTGAGCGAGTAAGGTCGTATCAATTTTCAGAGGCTCAATAAAGACTACAGGTGTTTGGTAGGGCTCGATTATTTCATAGCCAAGTGCGGTTGATGAGGAAACCCACATTCCAAGGTTTCTGCTGTTGCTTGTTCTATGGAACAGTTTTTCCCCCTGACGGCGTGTAAAGAGCAGTCCCTTCCTGTCTCGCTCGGTCCGATGACTACCCGCTCGATACTCCTAGCTTGCAGCATGAGCTCTTCCATGTGAGCTTCAGATGAGAGCGACCCTGCGTTCAAAGTGCAGGTAGTCATCTTAGTCCTAGATAACCTTGCTCTGCGTTGCCCTGAAATACTAGCAGGCTCTGCGGAACGCCAACCAACCCTCACCTGTCCTTCAAGTTCAGAAAGGTTAGGCCGATGATAACAGATCCGTTTTCGCTGTGAAGACAGCTAGGCCCTGACTTGAGACTGGGCAAGCTACGAGTATTCCGCAACCCTATTACAAAGTGAACTCTAAAGCTTTGTTTCCGTTTCCGGTGTGAAGACCGCTAGGCTCTGAGGTGGGGCTGGGTAAACTACGAGTATTTAGCTTATCTATTCCAAAGTGAACTCTAGAGTTTTTTCTGGGGGAGGAAGCTAATTAACATCGGCGGAGCTATTCCTCTTTTCGTTCGTCGTGAAGATTCTCACAAGCATGCCTAGGTCTGCAAATTTGCCCAATAGTGCAGTTGATATTGTTACGATGCGATAGGGCAAAATCAGGGGGCGTGCTATAAACCCTTCTTCGGCTGCATTTTCTTCCAATGGCGGCCATGCAGGTAGAAAACATCTAGTATTGTGGGAAAGGATTCATCACACGTCTGGCACCTCCCATCGAATTGCGGCGATACAAACTACTTTGAATTGATTCGGAAGGTCCCCCAGTCAGAACCTCATAAAAACAACTGTATAGTTAGTAAGTTTCAAGTTAATCGCGGTGCCTTTCGAAAAAAAAAAGAATCCCTCTCCCCTGGCTCTAAATGCTCTCCTTTTTTAACAAAAAGAAAAACTTCGAAAAAAGTTCTGTCGCTCAACTTTCAAGCACACGAAAACGAGAAGAAAAAATTCGAATTAATTCGAGCATAATTTAAAATTATGGTACATCGCTGTTCAACTCTATACAGCACCTGTAGGGTAACCTGCTCCGACTTGATGCACGCAACGCGACTGTGGGAACTTCGGTGGTAGGATTATAGCGCGAAATTTCTACACCTTGTGGTGAATGGGAAAGCCGTATCGGGACCCTCTTTTAAAGAAAGTTAGCAATGAGGCAGTCGTTTTCCCCATCACCTGTCCTCTATCTGTAACTCAAGGAGTCTCAGCAGTAAGTTAATAAATTATTACCAAAAACCAAAAAGGCTGTTGGATGTGTCGGGAACAGGGGTGTACAGAAGGAAGGAGAGAACTGTGAAACCTGACCAAAAGTTTTAGCTGTGGTATCTCAGCAAGCATATATCCCTATAATTTGCCAGACCGATCAACGATTGAATCCATCACTGCGTAGTCTCAATGCCACGCTGAAGAGTAAAGCCGTTTGATGTGGTTCCATGATCTCAGATGCCTTTTTCAAATTGAATTACATTTAAACCACAAACAAACGTTCGAAAGCTGGGTGCCATTTCTTTCTGATGAGAACGAAAATGATTTTTTTTTCGCCATGATTTCATATGACAATTGTTGCACTTGCTTCACAGCGCTGTTCTGTTTCGTCGTTGGAAATTACGTGTCGTTGGTCTTGTTTTCCTCGGCGCGGCTTTCAATTCGGGGTTATCTCTCTCCCTTGGTTACAGAGCCGAACGAAAAGGATCCAAAGATTCCTATCTAGGCATTCAGCGAGATAAAGAAATTGGTTCTCCCTTCGATTGCCCACAATATCGACATATTGAAGTTTTAGACCCTAATTTGAAGATTGAGATTACCCTATGCTTTTTTCTTCCGTATCGTGCAACTTTTCTTAATTGCAGAGAAAGAACTGACGAATTATTTGTGTATTTTGCATTTCAGGTAAACAATGTTGCGGATTTTTTGTTCATTACTTTTTCCGTCAGTGCATACGTAATTTTGCTGATGCTGGAAACAGTTCTCTTCGGCCGAAAAATGTGAGTTTCTCCTTATTTGTAATATTTTCTGAATGTTGACAATTGCGCTATTGTGAAGGACTTTTATTCTTCCTTTGCACAATTTTGTTTCATTTTGCATGCGGTTTTCCATCAGAAGGCTTTACGATTTTTCGCTGCATAAGCGAGACGCAGTGTATTCCACGATGGTTAAGAGGGCGTTACATCCGTAACTCACCGAATTCGCTCCTCTTTCATCCTTCCCCTGCCATAGCGAAAATACCGTCGGGTTCGCCAGAGTAGAATGTTTCACTTTAACCTGGAAGTGATGGGACCTTTCAGATTTCTTTTAGAGAAAGAGTTCGTTTTGACTTCAAGCTGTTTTATCGAAAATTTCACGTTCCATAAGAAAACGTGCCTAGTCTTCAGTTATACTGATTGATTTTTGTTAACTTTAGATCATTTAAATGGGACGTCACGTCGGCAGAAGAGATTATTTATGCACTTTCCTTTTCTTCCTTTCAGCCCTAGTGCTAACGCCTGCAAAACTTATATTTTGAGCGCGTAGCAGCAGCAATACCCCTAGGACGGGTCAATATTGATCCAAGACATTCAAAAATGTGCATAAAACCGGACGCCCTTTCGGTTTCATCAAGCGAATGGATCCATTTACTTACGTAGATAAGAAAAATGAAGAAAAACAGTAGAGATTTTGAAACTAAATCATTGAGGGCACCTTAAGTCATCGAGAAAGGGATCAAAAACTGGGTACATAGGTTTTACATACAGTCGTTCCTCATTGAACTCTACAACCCTCCGGCGCAGCGCTCCTCTGCCGTAGTGGAATTCCTATCTTTTGATCGCTTGAACCAGTTTTAAGCCGTCTTAGGCGGCATCGTTCCTCGGTCGTTAACTCCAGAGATGCATTGAGCAGATTTCATAGCTTTAGCACTTTCATCAAGAACACATCCCGCGATCGCTTATTGTGAACAGTAGCGTTCAATTACGAACCTATAGCCGCTGAGTGACTCTACAGGAAAGAAAGAAGCAAAAAAGTCATGGAGACCACTCTAAATAAGGACCCCCTGACAGCCTCGTACCAGTTTTCCGGACCCACCCTTTCCATGCTTCGCGTCATGCAATCAAAAATTAATACCATCTATCGATAAAGAAGAGACGGTGTGAAACTAAACAAGTGCAGAAAAACGTCTTCAAAGCAGTTGGCACGATGGTTTCCTACTTAGCCTAAAATGCTAGTAGGGCGCTGTATAGTGGGGAAATGGCGAAAGAACGGAGTGAAACGGTCAAAATCCTGCGAAGAAAAAGCCTCCGTTCTCAGTGACTTGAAAATCGATTTCGGACGAGTTTCCCGTAGGCATCTTACCAATCACCGCTACCGAAGATACGGCTGCATATGTGTACCCATGTATGCATGCATCACGGCCGCTTCATACCAATCCCTTCGCTTCATAATTTGCTTAGCAAATGAATGAATACGAGCGTCAGGAACGGTCGTCCATTTGTGGGCGGGCGGGCGGGCGTTTGGGACGTAAAGTTGTGGCTTGATAGGGCCCTTATAAGGGCACCTTCCTCGGGGAAACCGCTATGCAGCGCCTGCCCAGGGTCGCGGAATTCTATCCTGCCAGGAGTATTGATCCTAGTCGTCTTGGGGGATTTATCGTGCCAACTGCCTTTAAGTTTCGATGGGCGGTACAATTAAGGAAGCGTCAGATCTGGCGTTTATGAGGGCCTAAGCGCCTCCGTTACATACTCTAAAGCCGCGAAAGATGGACAGTCTTAAAAACTTCGGACCAAACTACTTCGAAGGCCAAGGTAGGACGCCTACGATTTAGTGAGCATGGGGAGTGTCTTCGAACCTCATGTGCCGTATTTTTCAAAGAGATCTGAAGGCCCTTCTCGGGGCGTTTTCTCCGGACTGAATACTTTGTTTGCAAATGAAACTCGTAACATTCCCTTGACTCTGCAGGAGTTTTGAACCGCCCCCCCCCCAGCCCCTTAGCCTTACTGCGCCGTCATCTAAAACCACTATCGTCTCTTGACATCCAGCTTCTGCATGTCATCGAATGCCAGCGCTATAGCACTGCAGTGTTAACTGTTACTTTTTAAAGTATCTGAAATTGGCGATTCCTTGGTGTCACTCGCGCACATTAATAATAATTGTCTTCGCTGAATGCCAAGCGGATTTGTTCATGGCAGTACAGTGTCACCAATTGTTTTGATCTACAAATTCTGTTCTAGTACCCATGACAGGCGCAACCCATCAGAGGCTCCTAGAGAGGCGAAGGGTGTGCTATCCCTGCAATCTACGGTCTAAACCTTACTGCTCGCTCTGCTCATCACCTAAGACATGCTTCTGTCAGTTTATCCCACGTTGCTTCGAATCACTGTATTGTTGAACTTGTTATGGGTCCAAAGTCCTTCTCTTCATGTCGATGTAAAAAATTTTTTTCAAATTTCAGTACCAAATGATCGGCTTTGCTCAATCTGCTCTGAATCAGACGCAGATTGAAATACGATTGGCATGTGTTAATGAGAACGAGGATATGAACTTCCAGGTGACGACCATTCGCTTTCTTTGCTCGTTATTTTCAGCCAATCAGCTAGAGCAGTTTCAGGTGCAATATGCTCTTCGCTCTTCGCCATGTGATAAGGAATTCTTCGACGCTAAAAGGGCTGAAAATTTGAAGAAATTGCTGGTAAGTTCACAGTTTTTTGCTTGGCAGTTGCAGTTACTTGGGGTTTAGTTATCTTGTTTTGTAGTGTTCCCTTCTTTTTTAGTAAAGTTATGCTGTAAGATTACTTGCAAAGCGGTTCCTCCTCCGCGAAATGGACAGGTTCATAGCTCAACTGCTGCACCACTTGCCACTCGCATGGGCATGGAAATGAAGCTGGATTGTTCCTGTAGATGGTTTTCTTTGTATGCGCCTGTTTGTGGATGTGCGATTTACACGTTTTGCTGCCAAGACATTTGCTCTGGGATCTGTGCAACCAAGGTCCCGCAGCAGAAGTGTTGGCGCGCTGCCAAAGTGAAGCTGTAGAAGCACGTCAACATGGGAGGCCAGATTGGTAGACGTCATAATATGGCTAGCCGTGTGATTGGTCGTATGGCGTGTTGCAAGTCCACAGCGTGCTTTGCTCGTGAACAGAACACCCGCTACCACAACTCTCCAGCTTCATTTTCATGCTCATCACAGTAGCCATAGTGTCACGCTGTTCTCGCTCATGGCAAGGATCCATTCCGCAATTGATTCTGCTACGAATACCCTTCTTTTCTCACATGAATAAATTATTTTTTCAAGTCATTCTACTTCGATGATCCGAATCACATTCCCGACAACTACGATTACGATAAAATTGTCTTCTACAAGTCCAAAGCTCTCAACTTCTCTTGCAAGGTGAGCTTCAATTGTTGGCTATGATTTTTTTACCACTGTCTGCCTTTTCAGCCGTATTCAAAGGGTATTAGTATAGCATATTAATGTAGCACTCTTTGAATTATGCCACGTTTTAATCATTTCACGTTGACTGGTCTATGACAAAAGTGCGAGCTGGCATATTTGATCGTTCTGGGTGGGGGGGGGGGTAGGGGTGCGGTTGGGAGGCCCAGCATGAGTCAGTTGAGCTTATTCTAATTACGGTATCTTGGCACTCTCCTTAAGGAGAAAGTCGCCACCTGTAGCTGCATCAGTTTGAGCTTTATGCAGTATGCGTACTGTGTTTGTCTGGAGTCCTGAAAGTAATTCAATTTTTTTCATTATTTTAAGGATTCACATGGTTCTATAATTTTTTCTGAGCCCGATCCTCATCCGATGACCGTTCAGAATGTAACAGGATTGGTGAGTGATAGGTCTTTTTCGGTTATTTCGTAGCCGTCCTCACACAGTGATATTTCAGGTTCCGTTCCGTTATAAGAGAAGTGCAGTGGGCAGCCTTGGCCCTTCACTATCGTGAGTTGATCGAGTGCTTTGAATTGCCCTCAAAAGGCAAACATCCTATGAATACAATTGTAGGTCTTGGACTCCCGCGCAAACAGTTCCTGCTGATGGTATATACTTTTTGGTTATGAAGGTAAGCCTTTTTGCATGGGACGCTTGTTGTAAAACGTTATGGATTAGTAATAGAATGTATATACAGGTAATTGGAATTCGCTATCCCCCTGCCTCCTTCAGCGACGAGCATAACATCACGATCACAGTGAAATGGAAACAACCACACGGATTTCTCAGTGCCATCGACTACCCTTTGCTCAGGTATTTGAATCAACGTGTGGGCAGTAAAGAGTGATCCGTCGCTAGGGCCAAGCTCGCTTTTGGCCCAGATTTTGGCCACTGGACTCTAGCATTCTCTGGCGATCGTCGAATAGGCCAAGAGTTGTGCCAAAAAAAAGCAAAGAGATTGAGTCTTTTTTTCTATGCCTATGCCGTTCTTCTTCCATCAGGGAGCGCAGACAAGAGCAGTAAACCGACGCGATAAAAGGGACTTAGTTCAAGTAGCTGTTTGACACCGTGTTCCCCCTGCTGTAAACTTGTTGGCATAACGTATGTGCGTTCTGAGCTTTTAGTATAATGGCTTGATGACGAGGTAAAATGCAGAATGAAACGGAAGGCTCAGGAGCAACTGGTTGTACATCGTTAGTTTCGATTCGCAGCATCGCACGCACTAGCAGAGCATTTCTTAGCTAGTTGACTTGAGAGACACAGACACGAAGACAGTCGGCGCTACGCAGCGCTGCTGCGTTGAGTGAGGTGGGTCCCGGTGCGATTGCTGTAGCACACCTCGCTTGCAAAGCCTCTTTCGTCGCGCTCACCGCGATTAGGTACTGGCGATATTCACCTCAGCTAACTGTATAGTTTCCTATGGGTCACAGAAATTTTAATTTCCGTCATTTTGTGGTTCGCAACAAGCGAATTGACGATACATGTCAAAGTCCCGTGGATTTTGGAGCGATGCCAGCATATTTTCCTTCAATCATTGCTCACCCTAACAACTATTAGGAAACAAGATGGCGCAGCGCCAAAATCGGCATCACACTGACACGCCCCGTCGATTCGGTTGTTGAGGACTGCATGAGTACCACTGTTTTCAGGTTCTATGTACTAATGTGCGTTTTCTATGCTATACTCGCTTTTATATGGATGGTTCTTTGTATTAAGTACTACAAAGACATCTTACGAATACAATACTGGATAGGTAAGCTTTCGGGATGTGGCTTTATGGTCAGTAGCTATTTAGTGCTCATTCTTTAAATTTTAAGGAGCAGTTATAATACTTGGAATGATCGAGAAGGCGTTTTTCTTAGCTGAGTATTCCACGATGAATAATAGTGGTCGAAGTGTAGAAGGCGTATTGGAGGTGAGAATGGTCCATTTTCCAGTCATCTGTTGAAATAACTTAGGAGACTTTATCGGTATTGTCAACTGTAACTCAATTGTTTCGAGTTTAGCTTGCTGAATTGGTCTCATGTGCCAAACGAACGATGTCTCGTGTGCTTGTAATAATTGTCTCAGTTGGATATGGTGTTGTGAAACCTCGCTTAGGGAATACTCTCAGTCAGGTAACGATGGAAAGCTTGTTTCATTCAATGTTTATAGCTTATTAGAGTTGAGGTACCCATTTTGGATTGGCAAAATGGTTTAAGGTTAGTATACTTGAGGTACATCGCTATCGCTGCAAGCGATGAGGCATGCAAAGCGGCGCGTATTGGAGCGCAGCCAGGGCGTCTGTCTATCAAATGTTCCATCCAGAACGTGCTATAACTGGGGAAAATCTGATCTGACTGCGCTTCAAGCTATGCCCGTCAGGCGAAGTATAGTTGTGATCCCTACAACCGGCCCCCGTTAGACGCCAGGTTGTAGGAATCATAACTTGTAACTGTGCTTCACGCGAAGGATGGCACCGTTACTAAGGCCACGTTCATAGCTTGCGACCGTGAAAACGCAGAAATGCGGAAACTGCAGAAGTGCGGAAAGTGCAATCTGCAGAAATGACGAAAAGCATAGATACGTATCGATTTGAAGAAATGCAGAAATGCCGAAAGTGAAGAAGTGCGGAAAGTGCAGAAATGACGAAAAGCATTACATACGTATCGATTTGAAGAAATCCAAACGCGGTACAGACTTGAAAATAGTTGGCATCCACCCCATCGGACATTCAGTCGGGGGAATCGACTGCGGAGCCCATTAGTGGGGTAAGCATTAGTGAAGAAGTAGCGCTTAGTTCACGTTTTACCGACCCTCTAGTATCGCAAATCCTGAAGATTTATTTCCTCGGAAAACCGAATTGTTTAGAGTTTTCAATTTTAGGTAGCTGGAGTGGGGTTGGTGTACTTTGTATTCTGTGCCATCGAAGGACTTGCACGGGTTTCCAAGGTGAGTTCTTTTTCGTAGGCTTATATTAAAGCTGCATTTGATTTAACAACTTTTTGAATTATTGATTACCGGCTTTGTAAATGTGTAGGAATGAAAAAGGTTTATTTGCATTTGGCCCTTGTTTGATAGGATTCAGAGGGGAAGATTTCCACTCACTGTCACAGATTTTTTTTCATTATAGAATCACGTTGAAGCTGCCAAACAGAAGCAGTTTGCTGCTCTTCCTCTGGTTATAACGGAGATGGTAATTTTCTATTGGATTTTCACTTCATTGGGTTCAACTATGCGAACGCTTAAATTACGGAGGAATGAGGTATGCCATGTTCGTTCTATTATTTTGTGATGCGGCTTGCTTTAATCATCCGTTTTGTAACAGTCTTGTACGCTACAGAAGCTGGTGCTCTTAGGGGGGGGGGCTTGGGTTTGGCGCAGCGTCGGCCTGTCCTCAACCAATAGTGGAAGTTGGGCAGGTAACCGCAATTGGTGGAAAATTGGATGGCGACGCGCCAATTACAGCCTCTTCGTTCTGAAATGTCCCAGCGTTTGCAGCGAGCAAAACTGTACTGTTTGGGCTATTTGGATGAAAAAAAATGATACAGAAAGAACAGCTTCATCATTTTTTTTCTCGGCGGCGAAGCATTATGAAAAATATTTTTGTCTAATTTCAGGTAAAGCTCACTGTTTATCGTCACTTTATGAACACTCTTGTATTCGCAGCTGTCGCCTCCGTAATTTTTATGGTGTGGAGTTTGGTGTATCATATCTTTCCAACATGTCTCAAGGACTGGAAAGAACTGTAAGTTGATGTTCTTCGTTTGGGAGGTAGTCTCCTTATGAGTCACCACCTTCCCCCCCCCGTCTTTAAAAATTGGGCAGCTCCTGATACTTATAGGGATCTAACTATTACAAGACGAAGAGGGCCTGAAGTTTATTCCAAAATAACTCGAAACATCTGAGAGATTCCAGAGGTTTCTGGTATTTTCAATATTTTTCGATTTTCAACCTTTTTTACCGTTTGAAATACTGAGATGGTATGGTCAGTTCAAAGGATACTTCATCGCATAACCTGCCTGGTGTGCCTTGAGTTTTTGAGTGCAGCTACTCTTAAGGAAAGGGAGATGAAGCTTAATTTGTAGTGTTGGTATTTCCACTGCTTATAAGCAGTTACGGCACAATGAAATATTTCTTGGTCCAATGAATGGTGACATCATACGTTGACAATCTTTACCTTGCTGCTTGCTGATTATCTTTGATCTGGATCTCATTTTGAGACATGGTTTCAAAGGTCATGTCCTGAACTGTTCGTCAATAAGGGGTGTAGAAAGATGGTATTGAAGAAATTTCTTCATTTTTCTCTCTAAATTTCGAGTATTGTGGCGGAAATAGTAAAGAGTTACGGAGCGTTTTGGGAATGCTCTCAAATCTGCTTTAGTTGCGTCACAGTTTTTAATATTATAGCAAGGCACTATTCACCCTTTCAGATTCAATTCACATCTTTGATCTATATTTTTCTTCGGGATAGATTTGGCTTGAATTTTTGAATTTAGTGTGGCCAGTTAGTTTAGTTTTGGGTAACCTGACCCCATGAATAGGAATGTCACATCCGCTCGGCTCGAAACTACATAGTGGAGGGGAACTATTTACATTATTCAATTTTATTATTTGTTTATTTATTTTGATTGAAGCAAGATTGGTATCGTCCAATTAGACGGAGAGTGGTGAATGGCCCGCCTCTGGTTGCTTTGCTTTACCGATGGCGGTCAGCTAGTGATCGATTTAGGAAAAAATAACCAAGTATGGAAACCGGAGTGGTTTCAATGAGGAAGAGCTCATTACATACCTATTGGAACCACCCCTACCGATTGCGAAATTATTAACTGTACCTGAAAACATTAAGCTCACGAAAAACTTGACATGAATATTAATATCATTGAATACTAATGTCAGTTATCAGGTTTAATATTGCCGAACTTGACATTGCAGTTTCCTTATTGTATGGGTAAAAAGGCGTGGTATAGGCACTGCCACCGAAGCAGATTCGCGGCGCCCCAGGTGTAGCTCGAGCGCTAGGCATTGGCTTCAGGCAGGTGCGATGTTCGTGTTCAGGGGATTGGGTTACTCTCGAGCAGAGTTCTAAGCGGATCTGTCGACGAAAAATTAGATCAAAATTTGGCCCCATTCTCGAAGAGTACCGCGGGAAAGGGCACATAGTGCCATACAGCAACAAGAATTGCATCACGTAGTGTTCACTGTTAAAACATTTTTGAGTGAATTTTTTCCACTCTTAGGTGGGTTGATACTGCTTTCTGGCACGTTCTATTCTGCTTTATACTCGTTGTCATTGTAATCCTTTGGCGTCCATCGGTGAACAATCAGCGTTATGCTTTCACTCCTCTTTTGGATGATAGCGAAGACGAGAACGATCAAGGTCGGTCACTTTACTACATATAAATTGTGAGCAGTAGTCGACATTTACCGTACTATTATTTATTCCAGATGAAATCTTCAATGCATCTGCCCCTGGCTTTGAAATGCTCAAACAGCGCGAGTCTGGCAACGGTGCTGATGTTCGACGCCAGAGGGAGAAGGAACGCGAAGACCACAAACTTCAGGTGAACCCTTAGCAAATGCTTTTTTTTTGTCTGGGCTCAAATATGGTTGTATGTATGTGGTTGCGCTGTGAAATTTGGAGAATGCGGAATTTTCTTTATTATCGCGGCTGCTTATGAGCATTAGCGACCCCGATTGCAATATTTCTTTATGAGTCAGTGGTGATCTGACTCATCGACAATATTTCCATAGCTGTTAGACGCATGCGTTATCTCTGTGGTTTTCCGCATTTTGAGCTCTAGAAACTCCAGGGACCTTCTGATGTTTTCGGTGGTGGTATCTGTAAAAGTAGAAAAGTGGTGAAGTTGAGAGCCTTCATGCTGCCCCCCCCCCTCAAAATGCGTGGATATCGACTGGCGCAGCACTCCTCTCCCTCCTCCACAATTTTAGGAGTAAAGCAAATGGATGAGAGAATCTTCGAGGATTAGTATTGTTTAGGGCCTTAGGACATCCGAATCGCGAAATGGTGTGCGAATTAGTAATGTTCCTTAGCTGATTAAGTTGACAGGGTGTGTGGCAAGACAATCGTAACGCCGCGCTGGTGGGCGTGGCGAGTGACGTCGCGCTCGATGGACGAGTTATGTTGCCCGGTTGTTTGATTATGTGTGTCAAAGGGGTGGGAAAATTGGATATCGCCCGTTACGGAGTCATGTCTTTGCCTAAATTCATATGAATTTCGCTACTCCAACCAAAAGCTCATGCACATCCAGAATTTGCCGCGCATGGCAGCATTGGACGCCGCACGTCGCGATGCGACAATTCACGATTGTCTTGTCCGTCTGCAGACTTTACATACTCCCGCATTGCACGTTGAGTCAGATTGGTAATGATGCGAATGCCGCGCAGGTGATACCATTTGCAGAGAATCTTTCGCTGCCTCCGGTGTGATTAACATGGGTTTGCTCTACTATACCTGTAAAAAAGTTACTATGTTTTTACCCTTTATCATGTTCCTTAGGCGCGAGTGGTGTAACGGCAAGTGGCTCGCTTACGACGCGGTCGTTGGCAAAAAATTGCGGATCGCCTCCGGAAAGAAGCTTTATACCTTGCGGGGACAGCGAATCATGACTAAATTGGTCTGGAAGCGTTTAAACCACGGTTTTTTTCACATTGCGCCATGTGCGATTGCATGTGCGAGTGCTGTGCGACTGCAATCCATTGTATGAGGCAGATTGCACACAATAAGCCTTTGTAATTCTGAATGAAGTGCATGCCTCATTACGGAAAGGGAGTGATCAACGGCAAAAGCTCTATGCTTCACTTCGAGAGTGCTGAATCCTTCCTAAATCAAAAAAATAAAATAGAAAAAAGAAAAATAGAATCCTATCCTGGCGGGACTTGAACCCGCAGCTCACACTGACCGAGCAAGTGCGGTATTCCACTCGCTACGGGAGACGGGCAAGAGAACCGTGAATTGCCGCTTCGTCGCGTGCGGCAGTGGGCGATTCGTTCCCCAAGTTTGCACCATCCTTTCGATTGGAGCATCGGATTTCGTGTAGACAAGGACGTAGGACAAAAATAGACACTTATGTCTATTTTTGGTCAACATTATCTATTCTCGAACGATACCGCCTAAAATCGTCGTCATAGCGGGCGCGACGTCGCACGCGACACCCACTGGCGCGGCTAATAACGGTTCTCTTGCTACATGCCTCTGCGCTACCAGGGCCGCTTTTACCCTGTCAGCTTCATGTGATTTTGTGCCATCCGTCGCGTCTTGAGTCACGCCTGGAGTCTTCCACAACTTTTGCCCACAACTCTCTCGTGATTACTTTCGGAGCGCGAACTGCAGCGTTAAACAGCGGTTGTCATACTAAAGCACTTCCATCTTTTGTTGTTTTTCTCAGGATGATTTGCGATGGATAGAAGACCATATCCCCTCATCGCTTGCGGAACATCTTATCATGGATGAAGATGAGGATAAGGAAGCACGCGAATTGGAAATCAGCAAAATGTTGTGAGAACTTGGAACTGGGCCAATATAGTACTCATGACGCACTCATTGTGATATCTAACACTGGTGTAGCTATTTACCAACTATTTCATCTTATATACGTTTTGGTCATTTTTGATCATCATGTGATTACTGTTGTTGGTGTAGATGTGCATGGAAATGACCACACCAGTGACTCAGAAAAAGTTGAATTATGCGAGGATTTCCTGCATCAAAACTGCTTTACGAGAACCCTCAAATTTGCTAGGGGTTATACAGTAGGGCAAAAGTCCAATTATTTTTTTCCGAGAATTGTTCTGGAAAATACTTCTGTGGAAAACCACGTTTTCAAATGGAACCCACTATCTTACAGAAAACTGGTGATGTTATTTCGAATGTTAATGTGACTGCTTGCATGATTTATTATTTTAATTGCATAGATCTTATTATCGATTGTGCCAGTAAGGCGTGTATGTGTGCAAAGTTCCAAGTCTTAAGTAGTACTGTTTAATGTGAGTACAGAAAATGGCAATATGTATTGCTGGTGTCATCTAGATACCGTTCGAGGACATAATTTAGTTCTACAGAAAAAAAACAATACATTAATAAAGCGGGATATTTGTTGCTACTACAGCTTTTAAGTAGGAATTGTACTGAGAGGTTTTTTGTTGGTTTTTTTGAAAATAAAAATTGATCTGCTTTCTGCTACTAGTTGCTCTTCGAGAGTAGCATGTTCAGCGTTTGAAAAAAATGGTTCATTTTAGGCCATTCACAGTGGATATACAGGGGGTTCCATTAAGTGGAGCGCTCTACTCGAAAAGGGACCCGGTCAAACGCGAGAGGACGCAATTAGTGGGACTGGTCATGGCCGAATGAACGGCTGTGGTCGTGTGGCGTGTTGCGTGTCGATGACGCATGTGACCTACAGCAACCACTCAGCTACTTTGCCGCTCTTCTGTGATAAGTAGAGAAATTAGACAAGAGCTGAGAAGGTATCCACCTACAGTAGCGGACCTGCCCGTCTCGCAGTGAATAGAATCAACCCGAACAGTGTTTCTTGAGCATTTTCACGCCGGGATCCCATATACTGGTGAACTTGAGTGCAGGTAAAAGAGTTTGCTGGCGTAAGAGGGCAGCCACTAAAGAAATATCTTCAGCCGTTTTTGACACATCGAGACAAGCTGTGCACCTACCTTCATGAACGGTCCTTGGCAAGCGGGTCCACAGGTGTAATAGTTTGCAGCTTCCTCAAGGTAAAAGTGCACGGGTACAGGACCGGAGGGAAGTTATATTAGGGTGGCGTCTCCATACTCTGCCCGAGCTAACCTCAATGTCTGTGACCAGCACCGATAGCAAGATCTTACAGGGAAACACATACTCAGCAGTAGAGAACAACTACATGTGAGAGAGCCCAGGCAAGTTACTCATCAGGCTATGGTTAGAGGTGCGGCCTTCCCTGAGGTAGCGGCGGGCAGATTACGGAAACGGCATCCGGGGATCATTACCCTCCAGCTCGTTCCTCCTTTTGAGCGAAAGGTGACACACCACTGCAGCTGTTGATTCCATTTAACACATGGCGATGACTAGGATCCGCGGAGGTGTGTGTACAGTTCGTCTTCAAGGCAGGGCACGTAGCCTTGAAGAAGTGCTGCCCTGATGAAGACCGACTATGAGAAGCAGCGAGATGTGGATGTTGCTTGATTAACTTTCATGTGAGTTTTGTTGATGAAGCGCAGATGTTGCTGTTGGGAAACGATTCCTCTATAAAATCGGGATAGGATGTGACGCACGGTTGTGTCTAGTGTGAAGTTCATTCACTGCTTTCGGCACGGTCCTCGTGTGTTCAAGTGGGGGATGAGGGGTTCAAGTGGGGGGTGAGGTCGTATTTCGAGCAAGGAATCCGATGAGGCACTACTTACTAGATGATAGCGAAACCTTACCGCTATACTGACATCCAAGGGGGGGGAAAGAAAACACTTTCTCCTTATCTTCCTATGGTTACAATTTATTAAAATCTGATCGGACATTTCTACCACCATATTGAAGAGCATATTAAATACTATCATGATACTCCGCCACAGCCTTCTGGACGAGCGCCATCGAGAGATTCTGCCACGCGACCGTGATTCGGTACCTGAGTTCAGCGAGATCGTTGATTTCTCCGCCACTGTAGACCACCCTGTTGAGCTCCGCCCGAACCGGGTAATTGAGGGGTTTAGGTCAGGTGACACACTTGGATATTCCGTCTTCTTCAGGTACTCAACGCCTTCCATTCCAAGTAGGCGAGAGTTTTTCCAACGCCCTTCGATTCCGTGTGGAGGCACCCAATCCTGTAGCAGTACGAAGTTTCCAAGAAGGTAGAGGCAATGACATCAAGGCAGGATATTCTTCAGTTGGTCGATGTAACAGTCAGCGTTCACTGTCAGTCCGGGGACCACGATGACCATATCGTTCTTCCCATTCCAGGAACTTCCGGTCCATACCATCAACCCGTGCCCTGGTCCTTGCAGAGAAAATGATATCCTGGACCAGAGCGACGTTGTCGGAGCTACTCGATGTTGGAGATCTTCCAGATTAAGGGGGCCGTTCCCAGGTTGCTGTCAATGAAGGTGATGGACGAGAGCCTGCTCCTGCTTATCGAGGAACATCTTCGGCATCGTCCGCTCTGGTACTCGTATCCACGTATACTGTACTCTCTCTAGGTTGCGTATACTTGCACTGATATTTGCCTCGGGCAAAGTGTCTTTTTTAAGCTTCCTGTACATATGAAAGTAACGAGAGCAAGAGCTTGTATACGTTACAATTCAGTAGATCACAAATCACCGACTGCATCGCTCAGTAAAGTGGAGAGGTGCCATGATTTGAATGAGGGAAGGAAAATGCGGATGGGTTACCCTATGTTTTAGCCTAGAGGTCTTTAGTGTTGTATAGCGTTGTGAAAGCCCTTTCAGGTCGGGTTTTATTCCTATTGGCACGCCGCTAAGATTAATCATGGATGCTCGATGTTGAACAGTTAATATACTAACGCTAGAGAAGGTGGTATTGAGCTGGGAGACGGGCAAGAGAATCGTAATTTGCCGCTCCGCCGCACGCGGCGATGGACGCGACAGTTTCTTAACTCGTGTTAACCTGTCGATTGGAGCACCGGACTTCATGTAGACCCCGTCATCGTAGACATTCATGACTATTTTAGTTCTGAATTGCTTGTTGTCGCCATCCTCTACCTGGAACCATCGTCATTTGCGAGCGCGACGTCGCACGCGACGCCCACCAACGCGGCGAATCACGATTCTCTTGTCACATACTCTCAGCCCTCATAAGTCATAAAAAAGAGTGGTATTTGTCAGCAAATGACAGAGGAAGACCAACTCGTGTGTCGGTGCCAGGGCACCATTGGTTGGGGATTTTTGTCGAGTCCATACGACCCCACTCCTTTTTTGGGGTTGGTACGACACCCCCCCCCCCCCCACCTCCAGCCCTCTGTCCTCATCGGATCGAGCCGTCGAGCGGAGAGGTGGAAGGGAGGGTGGGGGGGGGGGTAAATAGCACATGTAATTCTCAGATTTTCCCCAGCTTCCTGTTACTTTTTCCAAAATTCCCCGAGAAGTTCCCTACTTTTCCCAAAAATTTTGCTGTCCATCGGGGGGGAGGGGGGAAGTGTATAGTAAGCATGGAACAGGAATCACGAAAAGTCATTCATCACTCCCACCTTTCCTACAAATGCCAGAAAGTAAATGCACCCCCCCCCCCACTTTACCACGTTCGTGAAGCGAGAAAAATCAACTAAAATAATTTGTTCTCAGCCCAAATACGACCCTCATGCTGGAGATTCCCCACCAACGATGTGCCCTGGTCGGTGTACGGCTTAGTGCAGTTTTTCCGCGCGATCACATAAAGGGCAGATCACCATAACAGCTAATGCGTTCGATCTACCCACATAAATAGCATTACATTACAGTGCTGGTCGCCTCCTGCTACTGGGGAAAATGTTCAGAGAATACGACCCTTCTAATTCCTTCCTTTGTTACGGCCCCCTTACCCATCCTACCTACATACCACAATCCTAGATTCCCCCCCCCCCCCCCCCCCATTTCTCTACCATCTTTTCCAGTTCTTTTTTTCCGGAATTTCACATCACAATTTAAATTTCACAGACATCATTTCACGAAGAACTTACAGTTCTTGCCCGGAATTTTGCTGTCAAGCCGGGCGGGTAGGGGGGAGGGAGGCATAAAGTACATGTGAAACGGGAAAAAAAGCAAAAAGTCAATTAACGGGAAAAGTTTTTTCCCAACAGCCGCTTTCTCACAAAGGCAAAATGCGACATCCTCCCGCTAGTTAATTTCCCACCGTACGGCTTGGCTTTACAGACACTGACGACTCCACCGCTGAAGCGTAGATGTCCGCTGCTACACAAGAGCACCGGTTGGTTGTAGACCTTCTCCCAGAGTGCTGTGGGCTCTAAGCGTCAGTGACCCACTCCCCCAGCCCGACTCTTCCCCTCCTATACTATCGCCCGACAGTTTTGGGGCTGGAGAAGAATATATGGGCGTTTATGTTGAGCGGGGCTCTTCATGATATTCTCTGTTTCTACATGGACACCGAAAGAAGGCGTGATTTAAATGGATTTTCAGAATGGGCTGAGTTAGTACCAGTAGAACGAGGATCAACTCGAGGCTGAGGATCACGACCACCTTGAATTCTCCAACGTGTAGTCTAGAAGCGACATACGTGAAGGTTGATTCAATGAATCCCATTCATATTAAGGGCGTTTCATGCATACACTCCTTATCCCTGAGCCACAGTAGGCGTGGCATTTGAACATGGCACGGAACTGATTACTCGTGGAATATTCCGGTCTGGGACAAGTGTCATCTTGTTCTGTGTTACAAAGCCCCGAAAACAGTTGGGTCAAAATGAGAATATTCCATCAGAAGTATGCACACCTCTAGGTTAAGTTGAAGAATGTAGCCACGTATACCCGATCTCAGGGATTTCGAGTATACAGGGGGGGGGGCCAAAAAAAAGTCATTCCGGCCGAGTCACATATGAGCGAAGTTTTCGCAGCCCAGACAGAGGAAGTGGATATGAGTACCAGGGCGGAAGATACCCAAGATCTTCCTCTATAAGCAGGAGCCGGCTGCCGCCATCGCCTTCATGTACGCCAAAATATGAAGTCATCTCCAGTCGCGGCCTGACTGGAGAACGCCTTTGGAATTCACGTGGCCTCCAAACAGCTGCGGAACTTCTTGAATGGAATCACCCATGGAGACCAGTACTCTTGATCTGCAAGACCTCAAACATCGAGCAGCTCCGGCAACGTCGCTACGGTCCAGGACATCATCTTCACCCCATTCACCAAGGCGCGGGTTGATGGTGTGGACCGGCCGTACCTGGAATGGGAAGACCGATATTTTCTTTGTAGACCCCGACTGAAGGTGAGCGCTGGCGGTTACATCAAGTAACTCGAGAAGGATATCCTCCCTACATGTGGTCGCCCGTACCTTCTTGGAGACCTTGTGCTGCTACAGGTTTGGGTGCCACCACATGGAATCGAAGGGTTTTGGAAAAACTCCCGCCTACTTCGTTTCGTACCTGATGAAGATGCAATATTAAAGTATGTCCCCTGACCTGAACCCACTCAATTACCTAGTTCGGGCGGAGCTCAACAGGGTGGTCTACAGTGGCGGAGAAATCAACGATCTCGCTCAACTCCGGTACCCACTCACTTTCGCGCGGCCGAATCTCTCGATGGCGCTCCTCCAGAAGGCTGTGGCGGAGTATCGTTATAGTATTTAATGTGCTCTTTAATATGGTAGTAAAAATGTCCGATAAAAATTTAATAAAGTGTAACTTATAGCGCCTTGAAAGTCATGGAGGCAAAATGACTTTTTTTGGCCCCCCCTGTATATGGTCTGTCAAATGGCTTGCAAAGACAGGTGATATTTAAACGGGACGCGTCGTACGTTGGGAATACCCAGCGATGGAGGGTCATACTTGATCGCTGGGTCGCTACAGGGAAAGGGCGTGGGCGCCAGGAGATTTCGGGCAAAGCAAATGTGATATTCGTATTCGGGAGGTTAAACTACCTCAAACTACTGGGCAAGATTCAAGCCAAATCTATCCATGGAGAAAAAAAAAACCGGTCAAAAACTGGCTCGATTCCGTATGACTGGAGCAGTAAAGGGTAAACAGTGCCAAAGTCTGTAGTATGGGAGGTATAATGGGAAGGGGGGGGTTGTACCCAGAGGAAGAAGATTCTGAAAGGAAGGTCTTGATTTCATAGCAAATTTGGTCCCGCCAAAAAAGTAGAGTGCTTTGCCCTCAACCAGCCGTTATAGTCGATGCATCAGCAATCTGTGCCAATTAGTGACTCGGAGCGATGGAAGGCTTAAAAGTTTCCGAGCCACATCATCTCCTCATCCTGCAATCCATGCATGTCTTCCGATGTGATGCCTCCTGAGATTGCTTCACATCCGAGAAAATGCGGTCTCAAAGGAAGAATGGGACCATAAAAAAAGTATTTCTAATGGCTGCCAGTTCAAATTGAAGAGTTAAGCAGTGAAAACTTTTAAAGACCTGAGTAATCAGCTAGTGGTGGGTAAAACGCCAACATCATTTGTCTTGTCGTGCCCGTTGACGCGGGGGAAACCCTTAAAAAAGGTCCAGACGTCTCCCGTGGGAGAAAGACGACAGAGAACGGGTCTCTCCGTAACACAAATCCGTAAGTTCATCGAAGGCGGTCGGTGGCAGCAGCATGTTGACGATGTGGGCGGGCACGAGAACTAGCCGCCACGCGTGCTACACACGCGACGCGTTTCGTCGCACTCAGCTGATTGCTGTCATGGAGGAAGAGATGTGCTCGCTCGTTTATAAACTCGAGCAAAAGTACCTGGACGATGACGACGCCTACATGGATCAAGATCTCGTGCTCACAAATTTTGTAAGTTCTACTGATGCTTTCTTTACTTGTATCAGTAGACTTATTCCCTTTGAAATCGTTGTCTTTATATTGAAATGGTTTAGTTCACTTCTTTTCGTACTTTTAAGTCTTCTACTCGTTTAGAATTCACTTTGTAGGAGAGCTGTAATTCATTTATCCTTTCTAATTAGTTTTAATTGGCACTAGAGCTATGGCGCTTGCACTACGGCGAGCGCCACCTATCAGATCGTTGCTAATTAGATCTTCCGGCCTAGCCTAATGTATTTGATCCGTACTCTAGATAAAACTCGAAAACCTGTTTTTCACCAGCTACTCATTAGTCACACTCAAGCTGATCGCTAAGCAGCATTAAACAAGCATAATGTGATCCACAAACCCCCCCCCCGCACCCCCACACGTGACCGCATCTGTTGACATTGCCATTTTTAACGTTGAAAAACTCCCTTCAGACTGGAAGTTCACCATGTAAAATGGCCAGTAAACGTGCACTGGAATTGGTCGTATTAAACAATGCCAATATATCACATTTGGGCGATGTTACACAGGTGTCAACGCTCATGCAGCATGTCGCTGAGGTATAGCATTTTTCGAGTTCTTATTGCTTCAAAACCCATTTTTTGATCTACAGTTGTGTGTTTTTCACCTTTTGATCTACAATAGATTGTTTTCCCTTTGTCGATCTACAATCGATTGTTTTTAACTTTTTTGATCTGCAATCAATTGCTTTCCGCAACTTTTGATCTGCAATCGATTTTTCGTAAAGATTTTCTACTGTCCCGTCCAATTTCATTTAATTTATTCCAGGCCGATCTTGCCTGGAATAGCATTCGATGGGATTGTGTGGTGGCTCTGCTTAAACATCTACCACGGCTGCGTACACTAAACCTCAGTTATAACCCTTTGGATGGCGAGGTAAATATGCAAATCCATTTTCAACCTCTATTTTCTTTTCTCTCTCTTCTCTCTCATGCCACCGTGATCACGCTGCGCAATTTGCTTTTAACTTTCAAAAAAGTCATGTCCATGAACCAAGTGTCTGAACTTGCTGTTCCTTTGATACTAAGCAGTATAACTTCGCAGCAGCTGGTTAGCAGTAGGGTAAAACTGGCCTGTTTCACGACGTTTGTTAAGTCTGGGCCCTTTTTACCAATTCACGGAACATTGATGCACAAACCTTTCGAAAGTCGTTAAGAGGGGGCATAAAAAGAGCTGATTACGAAGTCGTGCGGTTAGCGCTAGGGCCCTCGGCTACGACTAGTGGTGGAGTTTAAGGTGCTCTAAGGTTCACTGTCTCAGAGACTAGTATCGCTATGTAGTAGTTTCAGCGTACAGTGTAACTTATCGTGGGCCAGAGTTGGAAGAATTGGGGTAAGGGTATGCTGAAACGTACTTTAGGGATCTTCAGCGAGGGGGGTGGAAGGCGTATTTGCCTTCGAGGGAAATGGAAAATGATCTCGTAGTTGTTAATTTGTCTCGTTCTACGTGCTCACTGCCTAACGTGTTATGTCCCCTAACCCCTCCGCTCCATGGAAGTTTTTGAGAGGAAAACTTGGACAGGTTTTGTAGAAAGCTTCCAAAACGTGCTGGGACAGGATGGGAAAAGGGGGAAAAAAAAACAGGGCGTCCAAACACGACTGGCGGAGGGGGGGAGGGGATGATAACTTGCTAGAGACGATGTGGTAATAAGGCTAGTCGAAAGGGCAAGTTCCCGATCCCATTCCCACTTTCCCATCGAAACGACAATTTCTCAGAAAGCCGAGACGAAACAGGTTTCAAAGGGCATACGTGCGAGAAAGGTGGTAGATTGTACTATGACTACACGTAAGTCGGCTTCTAGGGCTTCTTAACAAAGTATCCACTCATGCAAGGGTGCAGCACATCAAGCTGAGTGATGCCTAAGTTCATATAGGGGCCATAAACCCGAAGAGGTAGTGAAAGAACCATAGAGGTGAACCAGCTTGGCTAAGAGTACGTCTGTAATTTAATTCCGTTTCGTGTACCCTTTTCGTCTGTCACGTTCTTATTCAGAATTTATGAGTTT